AATGAATAAATAATGACATATTAATATTCAATACATGACATTCTACGTTCTAAACCTTATAATACATAAACCGCAAATAACAAAGTCAAATTAATTTTTTCATGTACCGAGGTTGAAGTCCCTCTCAAATGTATTATGCAGGATCTTTTGGATATTTGAACAAGAAAATTGGAAGTAAAATCACATAATAGAATTATGAATTGCAAGTCTTACATAAGGCGTTAAAAAGTTGCTAAAACCTCTAAATCTTTATCTGTTCTTGCATATCTATATTACTTATTGTTAGGCGCTTATATGTATGTATCCGTATTTACGCATTCTGCACTTCTTTCAGGAAGACTGTTCATCATTGTTGCTTCAAACTGGTTCAATCAATGTCTATCGTCGGATGAGACTGCGGACGTAACACATGTTCAAACCTTGTTCGATTCCCAGTTATGGTTTATGTCAAGACTATATCAACAAACTATCCTCGAGACTATGCGGCTCATTGTGAATATCTTGACACGAACTAAATTTGCCTAATCAGTGTGTGCTTTCTTATACTCTAACACATTATGAATCACAAATATCATAGGCACGAAAATTTTTGAATATTCGTTTCGAACGATCAATATGAAATATGGAGGTTGTTAGAAAAGATACGAAAAGACTCTAAATATAACATTTCAACTTCGAAACCTCGAAAAAGAAAAATAATTTTACATAATCTAGAGTATGAAAGACAATAAGAGAAAGAAAGCAACACAGAAGTTAGATGACGATAACGTTGCTGTAATTAGATCAGATCACTACATATGCAATATATATACGTTTACGATGTAGTTTTGTGTAACATTGGATGCTTCAGATATTGTAGATATTTGAATTACAGTCGTAATACTTGTTTTTTAATATGACTAGCGGCAGTCATTCGAAACTACAACCGTCCACGTTTTTAGCACAACTTGTGGAACAAATATTAGCTTATTAAAAAGTATTCAAACAAAAATTTAAAAAAAGTCGGAAATGTAGAACCTACCTAAATATTTGTAACTCTTATTATCACTCTCCTTCGCAGTATTATAATTTGATCTCTGTCACTAATAACGTAAGTTATTATACAAAATATAATTACCGCCAGTGATGCTCAATAGCGCTAGTTTTGTTATTCGTAAATTGTCAGCGCAAAATGACTCGTCTCGTGCGTATTATTGTTTCCACTTTATGTTACAGAGTGCACGTAAAGTTCAAGTGTAAGATATCAAAATATCGGCGCCTGATACAGAGGAAAAATCGGAGGTTAAATCTACAGGGAAAATGGTGGATGCAATGCGTAGGTAATGCGATGCAAACTAGATTTCGATTGATTGCCAACGAGCATTTAAGTCGAGAGACAGCTGCCGCAATTCGATATATCTCCATTTAGACCAAGACTCGGGACAGTATCTGTTGGTAAGATCAGTTTTTAAAAGATATCGTACGCTTCAAATCAGGCTTAGAGCATTACTTGAGAACTAATATATGAAAAATATAACTTGACCTTATCTGAGATAATCCAACGTTAATATATTTGAAAAAGCAAACGATATTTTTCTAAATTATTTGGTAATAAAGTAATTCTTTGTTTCACAAATCACTTCTCAAGTAATTTCGGACACTATTGTATAAATTTCATCTTCTGCTGAAATTATTTGTTACTTTATTTCAATGAAATAATGATCAAAGATAAATTTCCCGAAATTATTTTTCAAATAAAAATAATGAATGTAAATTATTATTTTTATCTTCACTTCAAATAGAATTTGTCTTGCTTCAAATTTGAGCATATTTGAAAAATGATAAATTGAGTAATAACTTATTTTATTTCCATTATTTTCGACGTTATTTGATGTGCACATATGTGTACCTGAACATGAAAATGATTTTCCTTCGAATGGTTTTATTGTTTGATTGTCA